ACCACCTTAATTCCAGTGAGTTAAAAAACTTCATTTCTATTCCTTCTTTGTTTTCTGGTGCTATTAATATTATACACTATACATATATAACTTTTTTGAGACAGGGTCCTGCTATGTTGCTCAGGCTGGAGTGCAGTAGTGCAATTGGGGCTCACTGTAGCCTCAGTCTCCTGGGATCAAGTGATCCTCCCACCTCAGTCTCCTAAGTGGCATAGGCATATGCCACCATGCCTGGCTAATTTTTGTTTGTTTTTTTTTTTTGAGAAAGAATCTTGCTCTGTCACCCAGGCTGGAGTGCAGTGGTGAGATCTCAGCCCACTGCAACATCCGTTTCCTGGGTTCAAGCAATTCTCCTTCCTCAGCCTCCCTAGTAGAGTAGCTGGGACTATACCATGCTAATTTTTTTAATGGCTGGTTAATTTTAAAAATATCTTTTGTGGAGACAGGGTTTCACCATGTTGTCTAGGCTGGTCTCAAACTCCTTAGCTCAAGCAGTCCACATGCCTTGGCCTCCCAAATTGCTAGGATTACAGGCGTGAGCCACCATGCCTGGCCTATATATAAGATATTAAAAAATATCTAACTGTATCTGTATTTTACTATTTCTGGTGGTTTTCCTTTTATTTTTGAATGAATTTTCATTACCGTCTGATGTCATTTCCTTGCATTAATACAGCTTTGCTCTCAACTACCTTCTTTGTGCTGTTATTGTCAAATGTATTACATGTCTATATGTTAAAGGCCCAACAATACAGTTATAGTTTGTTTTTTTTTCTTTTTAAAGACGGGGTTTCACCCTGTTGGTCAGGCTGGTCTTGAACTCCCAACCTCAGGTGATCCACCCGCCTTGGCCTCCAAAGTGCTTGAATTATAGGCATGAGCCACCACACCTGGCCAACAGTTATAGTTTTATGCAATTGCTTTTTGAATAGATTAAGAGAAGAAAGGAGAAGAAATATGCAAAGCACATTTTTATGAAAAAAATTTTTTGGAGAGATGGAGTTTCACTCTATCACCCAGGCTAAAGTACAGTTCCCGGGTTGAAAGGATGCTTCTCAGCCTCCTGAGTGGCTGGGGCTACAGGCCTGTGCCACCAAGCCCCACTAATTTTTGTATTCTTAGTAAAGATGGGGTTTTGCCACATTGACCAGGCTGGTCTTGAACTCCTGACCTCAGCTGATCCACCTACCTCAGTCTCCCAAAGCGCTGGAATTACAGGCATGAGCCACCATGCCTGGCCTAAATTTAAATTTAGATAGCCACATACTAAATAGCATGGCTAAGTGAGACTGACTACATATCTGAAGGCACTCACAGCCTCATGTATTTCACTTTCCAGTCTGGTTTCCTATTCATTTATGGTTCCAAGAGTTTCCCTTACTCTTTGAGATTAACTGCATTTAAAGAATGTTCTATTTCATTGAGTGTTTTTTTTTTTTTGGTAAGCTAGGGAGTTTTTTTTATATGATTTAATTCACTGTATTGCCAGAATTAGAACATGGTCTCTGTACCTCCATTTCCCATTCCCTCTAATCCATCGTCTGCACGATCAAGCAACTTTTTTTTATTTATTCTTTTTCTTTAAAAAAAATGAGGTTTCCCCATGTTGGTCAGGCTGGTCTTGAACTCCCAACATCAGGTGATCCGCCCACCTTGGTCTCCAAAGTGCTTGGATTACAGGCATGAGCCACCGCACCAGGCCAATCACGCAGATTTTCTTTTTTTTTTTTTTTTTTTTTTGAGATGGAGTTTCGCGCTTGTTACCCAGCCTGGAGTGCAATGGCGCGATCTCGGCTCACAGCAACCTCCGCCTCCTGGGTTCAGGCAATTCTCCTGCCTCAGCCTCCTGAGTAGCTGGGATTACAGGCACGCACCACCATGCCCAGCTAATTTTTTGTATATGTTTTAGTAGAGACGGGGTTTCACCATGTTGACCAGGATGGTCTCGACCTCTTGACCTTGTGATCCACCCGCCTCGGCCTCCCAAAGTGCTGGGATTACAGGCTTGAGCCACTCGGTGTACTCCTGGTTTCAAGAGTTCCTTCCTGCCTTAGAATGCAGCCCAGGTTTGGCCTGGGCTTGGTGGCCCATGGGAATTCAGCCCTGCCTGTGTCCTCAGCTGCGCCTTTCATTGAATGGTCTCCTGTACTTAAATTCAAGCAGAGCCAATATTTGTCACTCTGTACAGGGTCTGCTACTTTATGCCTTAGGCCCTTTGTCCATCTTGGTCCTGACTGCTCTTCTGATCCAGCGCTACCTCCTATCTGCTCCCCAGCACCTGCTCAGTTTTCAAAACAGCACTCTCATCTTGCCCTCTGTGAAGGCTTTGCTGCCCCACTCCTGTCTTGTATCTCTTCTGGACCCTGAATTTGGTCATAATATTTATAATACTTCATTGTGCTTAATTGCTTATATGTCTATGTCCCTCCTAATAAAGAACTTGGTTTATCTTTTATTGTTTTGTTTTGTTTTGTTTTGAGACAGGGTAGGGTGTGGGCTGGGGAGTGGGAGGGTGCTCTTCCCTGTCTCTCAGAAGTCCAGCTCTTTCTTCATCAGCTGCTTCCTCTTTTTTTTTTTTTTTGAGACACAGTTTCACTGTGTCACCCAGGCTGGAGTACAGTGGCGTGACCTCGGCTCACTGCCACCTCCACCTCTGAGGTTCAAGTGATTCTCTTGCCTCTACCTTGCCGAGTAGCTGGGATTACAGGTGCATGCCACCATGCCTGGCTAATTTTTGCGTTATTAGTAGAGTTGGGGTTTTGCCATGTTGGCCAGGCTGGTCTCAAAGTCCTTACCTCAAGTGATCTTCCTGCCTCTGCTTCCCAAATTGCTGGGATTACAGGCATGAGCCACTTCACCCAACTAGCTGCTTCCTTCTTCCACCACTTTACTTACTTGTATAGGAGGCCTGAGCCTGCTTCTGTGTGAGCTGCCAGCTGGTGTTTTCCCTGAAGGGATTGGGAAACTGCCATAATCACCCCCATTAGCAGTTGGCAGACCCCAACAAAACCATTTTTTGACCTGGACTGACTTAGCCCTGATAGCTCTGGGCCTGCTGTGTTGCTCACCATGAGTGGTGGCTGCACCCGCTAGACCATTCACTACCCACTCAGCTCCATGTAGGTGGACCCTGGCCCCAACTGGCACCCTGGATATCTCACACTGTAAGCCTGTGAAGACCAGCTCCAAGAACCAGCGCTCCTAATCGTGGCAGTTTTGCTTCCCAGCACTTACCAAAGTGCAATGCTGTGGGAGAGTAGAACTCAGAATCCAGCCAGAAAACAGCCATTAGTGGCCCCTGCTATGAGTGGACATTCCCCGGGAAGCTAAGGCTAAGTGGAATGATGATCACATAGAAACCTTTAACTGAACATGGACTCCTAGCCAGGGACTGGCTCTGTCATCAAAGAGAGATTACACACAGCATCTCTCTTCATACAACAACCTGTTAAGGTAGGGGTGGGGTCTTTTTTATAGATCAGCTTTGTGAGGTGAAATATCCAGGATAAGACAACAAAGGTGTTAAGTGGCACAGCTGGGACAGTGGCCCCAGAGCTCCTCCTGCCTTCACCACCATGCCTGCTTTCCAAAGGATATGTGTTCAGGAGAGGTGGAAATAGTGCAGGTTCTAAATTGTATATCTACCAGGGATTGGCTGTGCAGACTCTGGGGAACTGGAAAAGGCAGATTTGCCTGAAACTGACCCTCATTCAAGAGGTGGATTTAGGGGCAGCTCTGACTAAGCACTGCAGCTCCACTGCACACCTCCCTCACACTGCATGGTGTTGCCCTGCTGCAAGCTGTTACCTAGGGAAGATGAGCCCACAGCAACGCTTCAAAGGTCATGAAATCAGGGAGGGCACAGGCCACCCAAAGGCTGTGGAGGCCAACAGGCCAGGCGGGCTTCCTGCTCTCCTTTCATGGGGCTGGGAATGGAATGTCTCCATTATTGGTGAATCTCAGATTGTTTCTGAGCTCCAACTGCTCATTTTCTCTTCCCTTAAATCCCCAAAGGTAGCACTCTACCTTCTGCCTTCCAGTGCTTCTGCATGAACATCCAGCCCCAGCCATGGATGAGTCCTTGGGTGAGTTGCTGTGCTCTTTCTCCTGAAGCTTTCTACAGAGGGTTACCGCCTACATTTCTTCCTTGGTGTCTCTGTCTACCATGACGGACTGTAACCCTCACCATCATCCCTTTGGAGCCTTTGTTTTCAGCCAGGTGACCACACCTGTAAATATCCCTTTATTTTCCTCCCTGCTAGACACATCTTCCTATTATGTTCCATTCTGCTTTTAAAACATTTGAGAAGCCCACTGGGTGGATACCACTAGCCTCTCCTCCTAGGCAGGTGTTTTCAGGGAACTTCTCCCTCCTCTGGGTCATCCCTGAGATGGCTCGTGACCCCAGTGCTGGGCACACAGATGTTTAGGACTGTACCTGTGGGACTGCTGCCCTGGCCCTTTTTGCCAACATGGCCTATCTCCTCCACTGGTGTTTAGTGCCTTAGGGAGAGGCGGATGGGCCCCTGGGAAGGGCGCTGGATGGAGGGAAGCTACCTTTTGCCTACGTCAGAGCTGAGAAGGCCAGGTGCAAAGCCCGCCCTGTTGACTGAGTCCATAGTTTGGGGGCACCGAAGCCATCCAGACACTAGCGTCCTGGGGTGCAGCTAGTGAGAGTCCCAGCAACTTCCTTAGGAGTCTGCGCTCCCTCAGAGTCTGCAGCGGGTCGTCTCTCTCTGGTGGCCGCCCGCACCTCCTCCACTTCCTCCAGGCCACAGGGCTCACACCGGACTCTAAAGCTCAGCACCTCCACCCCTTTTCCTGCTGATACAGCGTGCGGCGCTTTCCCCTCCTCTGGTCTCGCCGCCTCCTCTCCTCCTGGAATCCAGTCCTGGTTTCCCCGCCGCCAGCCTCCCTCCGTCCCGGCGGGCTCGCTCCCCGCCCCGCCCACCGTCACCGCAGTCTGCTCCGCTCCGCGCCTGTCACCGCTCCCTCCCGGCTTGGCCCAGCTCACCCAGTCCAGGGGCTCCAGTCGGGATCTCGCTGCCGCCCGGGCCAGGTGAGAGTCCCCACCGCTGGGGAGGCGGCGGGCCCTGCTTCCCTCGGCCGCCTCGCCCACCCGGAGTTGTCGGGGAGGAAGCAGCTGGGGGGCCCCGGAGCCCCTCAGAGGACAATGCGACCAGTGCTCAGCCACCCTAGCTCTGTCTCCTCCGCGCCGGGCCCCTTCCCGCCATCCTCTGCCGCCGCCCGGCTGCAGCCGCTCTTCCTCCGCGGGGGCTACTTTTGCGGCCAGAGAGGCTCGGGCGACAGTAACACCAGCACCAGCACCAGCGGGGAAGGCGGCAGCAGACGCGGCGGGGGCGGGGGCGGCGGCTCCCCGAGCAGCAGCACGGGAGCCGAGAGCGAGGAGCAACACGAGAGCCTGAGCGTCAGCAAGCCACCGGTGCCCAACGCAGCGCTACCTGGGCCGCCGGTTCAGGGCTGCGCCCCTGCCGTCCCCGCGCCGGCCGCCTTCTCCTCCTCCTCCGACACCTCCTCCTCCAGCTCCACGCCCACCCTCTACTGCAGTAAGACCGCCGTGGACTTCGGCGGGGACACCGCAGCCGGGGCCGTCGAGGGCCCTGGGAGCCGCTCAGTGGCGGCGCCGGCGGCGGCGGCGGGTCGGGCAGCAGCGCCTCCTGCTGTTCGTGTTGCTGCTGCTGTAGCAGTCTGGCCTGGCCCGGCCGCAGGGGTCGGCGCGGCCAGCGGTGCGCATCACCCACACCACCACCACGCCGCACCGCCCCTGCTCTTGCCTGCCCCCTTGGCCGCCTCCACCCGGGCCAAGGCGCGCAGAGCCAGGGGGGAGGGGTCGGCGGCCTGGAGGCGGCCGCGGCAGTGGGCGAGTTCGCTTTCACCTACCTGGCCCAGCTTTTCTATTTCATAGCCTTCACGCCCAAGGCGGTGCTGATCTTGGGCACGTCCATCCTAGACCTCATCGAGCTGCACGCTCTCTTCGGCACCATGGGCTTCCACCTCACCATGGTACTGTCGGTGCCCCTGCTCTACAGCTTGGTGCGGGCCATCAACGAGGTGGGTGCACTGCCCGGCTCTGCCAGACCCCTGCTGCTGCAGCCCCAGTGGCACTGCATGGCCTGGTGCTTCCTGGGCACGTGCCTGGAGCTGCTCAACAGCTTCACGTTGGTGGAGCTGATGCTGGAGGTCTGTGCGCAGTTGCCCACGCACCTGCGCTACCTGCTCATCGCCGTCTACTTTCTTACCCTCCTCTCGCCGGTGCTCTGGCTCTATGAGCTCAACGCTGCTGCGGTGGCGGTGGCATCCGGGGGCCAGGCCTCTGGCCCAGCTGCTGCTGCCTTTTTCTGCGCCTGCTGGGCGGCTGCCTGGTGGACGTGCCCTTGCTGGCACTGCACTGCCTCCTGGTGGTCATCTACCAGCAGCCCCTCTCCATCTTCACGCTCAAGAACCTATTCTTCCTCGGCTGCCAAGGCCTGGAGGCACTGGGGGACTGCTGGGACTGGGTCAGTCGGGCCTCCCTGAGTCAGACCATAGGGGGCTATGGTGCTCCACCCTCCGCCCCTCCACTGCCTCTGCCACCACCTGAGGGAGGCTCCCAGCTGGACCATTGCATTTTGGAGAATGACGGGGTTGCCCATGGCTATGTAAACACCTTGGCTGTGACCTCCTAGAACTGAGGGTGAAGGGCATGGGTCCCTGGTTTTGGGTTGAGAGTCCCCAACTCCCTTATCTTCTACCTTCTGTCACCCAGATTTGATCAGGCTTTGTTTGGAAGAGGTAACCCTTTTTATGGCTGAGGGCCAGGGTGTTCTTCTGCACCCCTGGGATGAGGACCGCTTGGAGGGAGACCAGCAGTTAATGGTGAGGGAGGTAGGCGCACTTACCCTCTTTCTTCTATCCTACTCCAATCCTGACCTCCTAGGAGCTGGTAGCTCTGCTTCTTTCTTTACCCACCTCCACTCTAATTGCCATCCATCAGGAGGAGAGAAGTGCTCGGCCTTGGGTCTTCTTCCTGACTTAGAAGTGCCGGCCTCTTTCAGGCTGTGGTTGGTGGCCATTGTCCCATGCCTTGACATTGACCCAGAACCCACTTTCCACTGATGTCTCTATTCGATTTCTCCTGGGTGATAGATGCAAAGTGTATGTCTCTCTCTGTAGTGTTGTTTTCTTGCATCCACCTTGTGACCCTTTGCAATAGGTAGGAGATCTGGGGAGGCCCTGCTCCCTATATCTTACTTACCACCACCCTTCTCTTTTCTGCCTGGATTTGTGACCATGAATTCCCAGGAAGAGCTGGGCCCCTGAGAGCTTCCCAGGTACTCCCTTTAAAGGGAGAAGCTCTCCCAGGATCTTCCTCAATCCTGTTCCTCTCTTCTTAGCTCAGAGGGAGGAGGGGATCCATTCTCTAAGGACAAAAGTGCACCCTTTCTTGGGTGAGCAAGCATTTCTACCTCTGTGCTTTCAACTTTTGTTGCATCATGCACTGATGCTGCTTGCAAAAAATAAGACAAAATACTCAGAAATTGCATTCTCCATGGCCACTGGCTCCAACTGGTGTTGGGTGCCAGTGTTATTACAGGGTCTGTGGAGTATCAGCCATTGGCTTGGCCTCCCACTCTTCTTCCCTCTGCACCTAGAACTCTTATCCTTCCTGTGGTTTGGTGCTGACTGGGTCAGATCTGGGCTTAGAGTAATAGCTTTGATGGTTCCTAGATGGACATGAAGTTGACCCTCCCATAGGCCCAGGAGAGCAGGAAGCCCCATTCCCCACTGGTCCTTCCTCTAGGAAGTGTAGATCAGAAAGTGAGGTGGTGACCTCCTGCCTCTGGTCTAACCAAGTCTCACTAGGGCCAAGGCAGCCTGCAGCACTTTGTGTCCTAGATTCCTCTCATTGAGGGTGAGGACAAGAGACATCTGGGGGCTGTGTGCTCAGAGTCTTGGTGTGGAATGTCACTCTTGCAATCTTTGAGGCAGGATAAGTATTTTTACATATTTTAAGGGTGCAGGAGCACAGCAGGGAACAAGGCCAGAAAATACTTCCTTCCATCCTCAACAGGACGCAGTGGGGGTGAAGCTTGCAGAATTTTTTTTTTATAAGATGGGGGTTTCACTATGTTGGTCAGGCTGGTCTTGAACTCCCAACCTCAGGTGATCCACCCGCCTTGGCCTCCAAAGTGCTTGGATTATAGGCATGAGCCACCACTCTCGGCTGCTTGCAGAATTTTTATTTCCCCTTCTCCCTTCTTATGTTTGGGAAGTTTTATATGGTGTAATAAACCCTAGGTATATTACTGGAAGATGTTGATTCTAGTTCTGATTGTATCACTCACTGGCTTTGAGTGACATATCATTTTTATTTTCTAGGCTTGTTTTCTCACATTAAAAAAGTAGAAGTTAGATGAGTGATCCCTAAGTTTGAAGGTAATTCCAACTCTCACAGTTTTTGAGTTTGTGGCTCTTGAAAACCCTGGTCCTGATGCTCCCTGTACAGGTGGCCAGGAGAGAAGCCAGCCAGGCTGCAGCAGCAGAACATTCCCTGCTCTGCACTGGGTGGGTGAAGCTTCAGCAGAGGCCAGAGGGAGAGCATGGACTCCTGGGCTGGGTGTGAGGCAAGACTGGCACAGCTGAAGTGTCCACGGCACCCCCCACAGAGAGGGCCAGAAGTGCCAAGTCACTGGACATGAACTCAGCACCCATCAAGCCCCCACCTCCCGCTGGAAGCTCCCCTCCCAACTGCTTGGGGGCTTGAAACAGAGACACCCATGTAGACAGACGTAAGAGAGGCTGAGGGCTTGACCAGAGTTCTCTTGAGCCTCCTCTTGCTCTCAGAGCAGGGAAGCATGGGATAAAATGTTTACACTTGATCCACGATCTGTGCTTCCAGTTCCTCACCCTATGTGGCCCAAAAGCTGCCCGGATTTCACATTTAGTATTTTTCTGCCTTCTTCCTCCACCCCCACTGATGTCTATCCCCTCCCTTTCATTGGACTTGAGCTTCTGGGGCCTGAGGCCTGGGCCCTGGGTGGCTACCAACAGCTGCTCCCTGTTCCCATGTCCCCTCTCCAGCTTTGCTGTTTCTCTGCTACCTAATCTCAGTGACTGTGAAAGGACATTGTGTCTGAGCCATAGCTGGCCACTGGCTGGCCCCCTGACCTCCCCCTTTCTGTTGTTTAGATGGCCATCTCCTGCCTTGTCTCCCTGGTTGTAAAATCTCTGTACTGTTAGGTTTTGATGGGAGGCTGTGATAAGTTCCAACAAGTTGCCACTTCCCTGGATATGTCAAGAGGTTGATGGCAACTAGCCCAATTCTTGCAGAGACCAGGCACCCAACTCAGCCCCAGTCACCCTGTTTTACACATGTGGTTAGAGCACTATGTGCTCAGAGGGTAAGGCCCTTGCACCCACCTCCCTTGCCCCATAGTTCCAACAAGTTGCCACTTCCCTGGATATGTCAAGAGGTTGATGGCAACTAGCCCAATTCTTGCAGAGACCAGGCACCCAACTCAGCCCCAGTCACCCTGTTTTACACATGTGGGTAGAGCACTATGTGCTCAGAGGGTAAGGCCCTTGCACCCACCTCCCTTGCCCCATTTATTATTACCCCTGAAGCTTTCTTCCCCTTGCTTTCTAGCACATCCCTGGTGCAGGGGAAAACCTGAGATTTTCCCATGGGCTTGACAGCCAAGGAGGTTTCCTGTCTCCTGAGGCCAATGCCAGCACATGCATCGTTAGTAGAAGAGGACCCTGGGCTCAGAATCATGAGAATTGCCTGCTCCTAATGTTTCTGCCAGTCAGAGTGTTCCTCTCTAAGTTCCCAAATCCTTACTTATTTAAAAAAGACTAGACCCTCTCTAAAGACTGTTCCATTTTAACATGCCCTGATTCTGCATCTGTGGGTTTGTGAGAGAGATAGCTGGTGGTGAGAGCCTGGAGGAAGGAGGGAAGTGGCACCTCACCAGCATTTATCACTTTTTTCCTTTTCTTTTTAAAAGTAAAACCAGACTCTCTTCTGAAAATAAAAAACTTGAGACTTGTGACAAGCTTCCTGTGTGGTTTAACATTTTTTCTGTCTTGATTTTCTTTCAAAGTTTTTAAATGTCCCTGTGACATTCTCCATTATTTTATAGGTTTGTGTTAACATTATGAAAACATCTTGGTCCTTTCCTTCTAGTCAGTGGCATGTGGCTCAGTGGGCCAGTGAGGCTGTGGCCTGGGGCAGGTGAGTATCTGACAGGGTTTGTCAGCACAGCCAGCTCAGCTTTAATGGAGTCAGTCTGAGAGCGATTTTTCCCATCCCACTTTTCTCTTTCTCCCACTTTTCTTTCTTTCCTTCCTTCTTCCTTTCTTTCTGAGCTAGGGTCTCACTTTGTCACCCAAACTGGAGTGCAGTGGCACCATCAGAGTTCACTACAGCCTCAAATTCTTGTGCTCAAGCAATTCTCCTATCTTAACCTCCCAAGTAGCTGGGACTACAGGTGTGTGCCACCACGCTCAGCTTCCCATTTCTTTCTAAGAGTAGCTTTCCAAAGGGGAACATCTTGAGAAACTAATTTTTAAATACTGTGCCTTCCTCTATCACTCTTGTCCCATCCAGAAGCAGATTCTTTCATATGAATAAGAAAAACACGGCCATGGGTTTTTGTTTGGCTTTATTTTAACAGGAAGGATAGTATTAAGTCTAAAGGTCGGGACATCTAAATAAACACACTGAGGTTTTCTTAGTACACAGGCAGCCTGTATTATACAGATCCTAGCTTGCTGCTTCTGGCTGTGCCAAAGGCGATGCAGATCTTTGACTCAGGAGATCCCTGGAGGCAAGAGTAGATGCTCCTGGGAGCCTGAGCTCTCTCTGCCTCTCGTGAGCTGTGGCTTTGCCCATCATCTGGCCTCCTGGAACTTCATTATTTATAAAGCAAGAGCAACCACAGAAGACACATGGGAAATGGTCTTTTCCCCTATGACATGTATAATTGCAACAGGGAACAGAATGTACATACAAAATCATTACAGAACAACATAGAAACATATCTTCATTTCTCCCTGAAGTGGATGTAAAATAAGGTGATTGCTTTGACCAAGCATATTATGAATATTTAGAAACATCTTCTAGGGAAGCAAGCTGGCCCTGACCAATTTTGGTTTGCCAGGCATATCAGAAGTCAACTTGTGACAAGTGAAGAAGGGCACAGAGTGACTTGTTCATGTGTAGGGAAGGCCCACCCCACCCCACACCTGGGCCTTGAGGTGTATGCCTGAGCAGTGGCCCTAAGGAAGAATAAAATAACACAGCCTGTGGTTGACTGCGGGGCCCTCTGCACATCAGCCCCGTACCTCCTCACAGCCACGTTCAGGGCTGCTTTTTATTTTCCTGAGGCCCCGAGAGGGGAGGTAGCTTGCACAATGTGGCACTGCAGTCAGGAGGAGCCAGTGCACAATTCCACATCTGCACTCCAGGCAGCCTGCAGTGATTGGCAGCTGCTTGGGTCCAGCTTTTTTTCCATGAAAACTCAGCCATTCCAGTAAAAAAACAGGGGCTGTTTTCGCCTTCTGTGAAGATCTTATGGAACTTGTGGGCAGAGGAGGCCAGTGGGACACCCATGCCAGGGAGCAGGCAAGCACAGGGGCCAGTCACCTGCACCCCTCCTTTCCACTTCCTCTCCTCCTGCTACCTGTCATCATGTTCCTTCTTCCTGTCTCATCAGAGAGGAAGGATATGGTGAGCAAACTCATCCTACAGCCAGTGGCCCACGGGGCTATTCCTCCTGGGAAGGACTCCAGGGGGAGGTGGGCTGGGCCAGGCTCCCTGGCACCCTTGAAACCAGGAGACAGGGGACTGGGTGTTCCTCTCACAAGCAAGGCCGGCTCACCTGGGCGAGTACCCGCCTTCATCAACCTAAATGCACAGGGCAAGAGTGTGCACCCAGTGCTAGGATCTGGGAGAGGCAATGGGGCATGGAGAGCCATGCAGAGGTGGAGGGCAAGATGGACTGGGAGGCCATTTCAGAGTGAAGGACGCTTGGCGGGGGACGCATCGGGGCACAAAATTAATCTTAACAGCTCACACCACGGGTTGAAGGGTAGTTGCTTTTCTTCATAGTCTTCTGCAAAATATAACCCATGGAATCCTATTGTGGCCCTTTTTCCACAATGTACATTGCTCACTCAGCCAGAAACTTCCTGAGCTCCTTAGAGATGCCCAGTACGAGAACATTTACTACTTTTAGAGTCTGAAAAAGCAAACACAGGAGGGAGAGAGCAATACCTAACAGCAGGGAAAGAGGCTCAATGGTGCATTAGGGGCACAAACTGCTCTGCCCCAGAAGCAGGCTGGTGCCACTCAGGGACACTGTAAGCCACCCAGGACCCCATGAAGCAAGAACTCCTGTCCTGTGCACTTTACAGATGGGCAAACCACCTAGGGCAGATGAGCAGCTGGCCAGTCCCCAACCCTGCTGCCTCTTCTCTGTGAGGACCCTGTGTCTGACACAACTGACTGGTGGGATGAGGGCCTGGATGCTGAGTGGCAACCTCCATCTCACTCTGCCCTCAAGCACCCCTGGTCTTTCTGGAGTCCAGGCTGTGGCAGGGCACTAAGGTGGATGAGGAGCCTGCACATCCCTTGTGCATTCAGGAAGGAGAGCACCAACTTCAGAGCCCAAAGCCTATAGAATTAAAACTACCCACTGTATTGTAAGCACTTCTTCTTCTCTCTTATGTCCTATTTAATTTTCAAAGATAAACAGTAAAGGCCAGGCTTGGTGGGCTCATGCCTGTAATCCCAGAACTTTGGGAGGCAGAGATGGGCAGATGGCTTGAGCCCAGGAGTTCGTGACTAGCCTGGAAAACATGGCATAACCCCATTTCTACAAAAAATACACACACACAAATTAGCCAGGCATGGTGGTACGTGACTGTAGTTCCAACTACTGGGCAGGCTGAGGAGGATGGATTGCTTGAGGCTGGGACAGAGAGAGATCCTGACAAAAACAAAAAACCAAGACACAATAAAAGCAAGAATGAAGTAACTCCATTGCACCCTTG